TATATTTTTTAAAGAGAAGAGAAGATTTCTTTATCCATTTTCTGTTCCTTCTCCGATTAGCCCTGTTAGTGAATAGACAAGTAACCCGGTTTAAATGCTTTTTTTCCTCATTAAAAATATAACTGTGAAGTTGAAATACTGGTAAATGTTTTATGTAACTGACTTGAAGAGATAAAAAGCCCTGATTTGTAACATCTGCCCATTTTCATGGTGTGATGCTTCCACCACAGCCATCTTCCAGTCACCAACACAATGTCACCGAGCAGAAGAGAGCGGCAGTCGCCCTGACTATATAGGCCCAAGATCATATAGTAATTCTACCAGAGACGGTATTGATGGAAATAACCTCAATAACATAGATAAGAGTAAAATGGAATAAAATAATTAAGAACCAGTAAGTTTTTAGTATTATGGCCTTTGTCTATTTCTTCATTTTTTTTATTGTATTTATTTTTAGAAAAGGAAGAGAGAGAGAGAGAGAGAAACATCAATGTGTGGCTGCTCCTTACACACCCCTCACTGGGGACCTGGCCCACAATCCAGGCATGTGCCCTGACTGGGAATCCAACCAGTGACCTCTTGGTTTGCAGGCCAGCAGTCAATATACTGAGCCACACGAGTCAGGGCACCTTTGTCTTTAGAATACTTATTTTAATTACAAGTTCACATAATTTAATTTTTAATAATGGATATGTTTAATTAAATGAACATGATTTAATAATTAATGATGGGGGCTCACAGTATTTCTGAAAACGTAAGTTTCAGCTTTCACAAAGCAGCGCAAGCCCACTCCCGGCCACTACTGCGAGATCAGAACAGTTCCCATGGCAAAGCAGGAATTCAGGGAGGCAGGCACAGCCAACCTTCCCCACGTCCAGAGCCAAGCAGCCCCACACAGCAGGACCTGGCAGACACGGGGACGGTGAGGCCCCTCTCCCACTCTGTCAGCTCGTGCACGCCCAGGCCCTAACCCCTTTCAGCATTGAAAACCACGACTCAGAAGCAAAAACCAGAAAGCTCAGGGCTCTTGGAGCCGTAGCCACATGGCGGAGCGGGAGCGTTCAAGTCCGTCCCTGGGCTGGGCTTCTCTGATGTCAGTTCTGCCACTAGCCACCCAAGTACCTCGAACAGCTCGCTCCCCCTTAGATCCCAGTGAAAAAGGGCATGGTTGGACTAAGCGATCTGTGTTAATCCAGGTTTCTTCCAGCTCTAAAACCCCTTGTCGGTTGTGTTTACTGAAGGCTTCAGAAAAGATGACCAGTCATATCAATCCACCAAGAAGAACTCATCAGACCACAGAGCAACGTAGCTTCCCAGGCCAGAGCTCCCTCTCAGCACGGGAGCATTTCCCATCCTGACAACGGAAAGGCGTGGGCCGTGGCCTTTGGAGGGTGTGTCCAAGTGCAGCTGCCTTTGAGGACTGCAGTGGTTTTGTCTATTTTTCTGGTCACAGCAACTTCCTCGAGCCTTCAGTTCTTGGCTGTAATCAGTCCTGACTCTGTCTCCCCAAGTGATTCCTCATCTTTGGGAATCTGTCCATCTTTTGACAAAAATTTGTATTGATGGAGCATTGCTTTGAAACTTTGGGGTTGAGTGTGTCCAAACATAGGCAAAGTCCTGGTTAGGAAGTGCAAGAGGGAGAAGAGTGGTGCCACGTGGCCAGAGGGAAGCTGGTAAATTTCAACCAGCACTTCCTTCACATTCCCGTGCCCGTGAGTGTGGGCACCGACAATGAATTGTGCAGCCGTGGGTCTCAGCAGGGCAGGGTTGCTATGACTTACGGCTGTAGCTGCAAGTTCATAACCACCAATCCAAGAGAGAAGAAGGGCTGACAGACTGCCTTGAGCTTCACGTGTGCTGCTTTTAACACAGTGCCTCATTCTCACGTCTAGAAAGCACTTAGCAGATTCAAGGCAAAAATAGGTTGCCGTCCATAGCCGACCCAAATGTATGTAGAGGAGCAGGTGGGTGATGCTTGTGAGCATTAGAGTGGTTGTTATTTATAGTTGTCGTTTTGTATCTGTGCTGTAGGAGAGTATTTATTTTGCAATAAGAAAAATGAGCTATTGACACTTTTTAACCAGACTGAGGGAAGACATGGAGAAACTGACCCCTCATCTTTGACAAGACATTTATGTGGACTCTGGGCAGGTGCCTGGTCAGCCATTGACAATCCACTCTGTATGGAAGGCACAAACCAGGTGCTTTCAGAGCCATGAGGGTGCAGTGTGCCCTCGAAGAACCGGGGCTGGGGAAGGGATGTGTAGGTGAAACCACGTCATAAAGCTTTACGTAATGACACCAGCTTCCGGGGTGGGAACCGCTCCCTGTGTGGCAGGCACTGCACCCCACTGAATCCACACCACAGCCTTCTGAGGCTGGCCTGACCATTGTCCAGAAGGCCAGTGGCCTCGGTGGCAACTGGTCTGTTCAGAGGGAAAGTGGGCAGGGCCGCAGCTTGTGGGCCAGGCAGCGGCTCCTCCGTGGAGGCCTTGCCGGTACAGGGTAGGCTGTTCACATGCAGAGAGGAGAGGCCCCTTGGCAGGCTGGGCGCCGCGCTGGTGTAAGAGGAGATGAAGCTCCTGTAACACCCCACGACCTACTTCCTGGTTCCCCACCAGGGACACATCTCGGTGCAGGATCGCCACGCTCAGGAGGCTCAATGCTCCATCTTCCCACTAGTTTGTGTGGATTTCTCATTCCTCCCAGTCCAGGTGCCACTGAATGGTCAGGGGCCAATCTTGTCGTGAGGAGGGTGGCCTGTTATCATAGTTGACACTGTCGTACCAGGTTACCCAAATTAACCGAAGTTCAAATTCTCCTGCAGAAAGAGGAATGATGTATGTTAGTCCTTTACCTGCAGTTGCTGGTCCCAGTTTACAGACTAAAGCTGGGGTTTAGAGCGGTTTCTCAGCTTGCCTTGGTCCCATAGTAAGTCACACAGCCAGGACTTGAACCCTGGCCTACTCTATGTCCGATGACCTTAGCCCAAATGCAAGCTGCAGGTTTTTGATTCTATCCCATAGCCTGTCTGTATTTGACTATCTGAAACACTAACTTGAACTGCCTATGCTGAGAACAATTAGTCTTCCTGGGTGAGCATACATTCAGCCTGTGGCTTTGCCCACACTGCTACCCCCAATTTGAGAAGCTCAGCACCAGCCAGTTAGTAGAATGATCAAAGAAAGCTCTAGTTCCTTGCTTTTCTCTGGGAGCCTATATTTTGAGTAAAGGTTTATGAAGAGGGGAAAGAGTTTTAAGAGCAGTAGAGCCCACTTTACATCGGAAAAGAAATGAGTACCTGGCTACCACGCGCAAACCGTTCTGTTTTGCATTGTTCCTTTTTTTGTAAAACATCACCACCTTGCAGCACCAACCCTGAGCGCTCAAGGCAAAGCACGTAGTTTTTACTGCAGTGCAGTGCCACATATAAAATCCAGTTTATATATCTAGACGGCTTTGCAGAAGCCATTGAAGAAGTGTGCCATTCATGTTCCAAGTATAAAAGCAGGCATTTTAAAACTCTTTGGCTGTATTGTAATATTGTTTCATCAGGTGTTTGATCAGTTCTCATCTTTCATCAGGAATTGGAACAACCTGATGACCGGATTCCCAAAGTCCAGAGTGAAGAATTAGGAGTTTCGTAGGCAGAATGTGAAATGGGCCGAGTAAAACAGCATGTGGAAGTGCCCTGGAATTGGTTGTGATGAAGATTGTATTAAAACAGTCAAAACACAGTAGATAGCAGGGCAGTGGGTGCGGAGAGGGCCTGAGGCGCATGGTGATGTTCTGTTTTCAGCCTGGGCAGTGGGTGCTTGCATACACTCCATTCGCTGGGCTTTCCACCAGAATTTTCAAAACGCAGCTGACCAAGCCTGCCTGCTAATAATACAAAAAAAGATATTTGCTCTTTAGGTAAGAGATATTTCACAGATTGTTTTGAATCTTATTGTATGAAATTATGAAGGGTTAGATTATACAGTAAGGAAAGAACAAAGTTAGAATATCACTAACCTAACCTAAAAGAATTATTAAAAGAATAATTCTGAAGTGTCTAAGATGAAACTATCAGGAAGAGTTCCTTTTGCCTTTACGAGTAATAAAATCACAACACAGACAGGCCCTTGGTGGGCATCTTCCTCCTTGAGCTGCTCTCGCCCCTTGAACCTGCTTGGGCCGATTGAGTCAATCATTCTATACATGTTTGCTAAATTGGGCTCAGCAGTGTGCTGGCAACAATGGCAGGGACTTGAGTCCTTTCCTTTTAGCTAATGGCCAGGGAGACAAGACCTTCTTTCTGCCAAGAAAAATTTAAAAACCTAAGTAACAGTATGAGAATCCAGAGTAGTATAAAACAGAATCAGGTTTTTCAACAAGGTCATAATGTTAACCTACCCATAAAGGAAGTCCTCTAGCCCTGGGCGTATTAGGAATTTTGGGAATGGGTGGGCCTTTTTCAGGTTGAAAGAGAGAGGGGAGCAGAGGCCGCTGCTGGCATCGGGGAAGATGTTGGCATTCCTCGTGATTGATACCCCACAGTGGGTACAGATGGAGTCTGTGTGTATGTTTCCCAGGAGGAGGGTCTGACCAGGGATGAAATGGGCCTGACTTTGGGGAACCTTAAAACAACCAGCTTGAAGATGATTTCATCATATAGGAAAAGGGATTCTGTTGAGTTATTTTTGTTTTTGAAGATTTTATTTCTTTTTAGTGAGAGGGGAAGGGATGGGGAGAGAGAAACATCCACATGAGAGAAGAACGCAGTCAGGCATGTTCCCTGACCAGGAGTTGAACCAGCGACCTTTCATTCTGCAGGACGCACTCAACCAGCTGAGCCGCACCAGTCAGGGCGATTCTGTTGTGAGTTAGTTCTAAGACTGGGACAGAGCTGTGAACTAGGCCCTTTCCCAGGAGGGAGCATCTGTCAAACTCGGGGTAAAGGTTATCCGACCTCAGCTCTGTAAATGGCCCTGGTGACTTACCTGCCATTGTCCCTTCAGATTCATGACAGATGCTGCCCGCCGAGAGCAGGAGTCCCTAAAGAAGAAGATTCAGCCCAAGCTCTCGCTGACCTTGTCCAGCTCCGTGTCTCGAGGGAATGTGTCCACGCCACCACGCCACAGCAGCGGAAGCCTTACTCCCCCCGTGACCCCGCCCATCACCCCCTCCTCCTCATTCCGCAGCAGCACTCCAACAGGTGAGTGGCTTGGCCCCACCCCCTTGAGAGCGGGGGCTGGGGAAGAGTGAGAGAGAGAGTGTGTGTTTGTGTGGGAGATGGGGGTGGAACTGGGCCCAGGGACCCAATAAGTCCCACCTGTGTGACCCTTTATTAGTCTGTGTAGTTTGCTGATTCGTTCATCTGCTTATTGAAGAACTATTTATGAAGTACTGTTCATGATCTGTATGCGATAATGGTTTTATAGATACTTTGCAAGCCCTTGCTGTTTGTGACGTGCGAAGTGAGGCGAGGCCTTGGATTTGCTTCCGTCGTGGGGAGGAGTGGAGGAGAAAGATGGCCGTGTGTTGATAATTGCTGAAGCCGGGAGATGAGTACACAGGGGTTCGCTGTACCAGTCTCCCAATTTTTGCTTCTTTAAAATAGTTTCCATACTAGAATGACTATTTAATGAAACATTTAGAGTGCCTCTTACATGCCAGGCACTGAGCTACAGCGGCGAGCCAGGGAGACCCCGTCTCTGTCTTGAAGACGTCGGGGAAGATGTTGGCATTTCAGGGGATCCACGAGCACACTCTTGTCTTCCCCTCCCAAAAGTGGAAGTGACTGGAAAATAAAACAGCAGTCAGAGGGGAAGGCCAAAGTCAAGCTAAGTAATGCAGAAAGCTGAACTACAGGGCCTCTTAGTATGTCCTCCCCGGGTTTAACAAGGTCCTTCTCCATCGCCCTTCCCAGCTCACCCCAGAGCACGCCCAGACCAGGTGCCCGGGGGCTCCCTGCCCCTCCCCCCAGTGCAGGCTGCTGCTCCTCAGGGGACAGGCGTGAGTGAGGACGGCAGGAAGAAGCTGCCTGAGTCCCCCCTCCTTTTTCCCATCTGAGAAGCGGGGAGTATTTTTTCCTTCTCCATAGTAGGAGTACAGACAAGCATTAACCACATAAATACACCAGTAAATATGACATTGTAACCATAACCGGAGCTCTGTAGAAGAACTGGTGCCGTGCGAACCGCAGAGAGAATCTGACCAGGCAGGAAAGGCCCCCCTGCAGGATGAACAGGAGTCCAGTTGGTCCGGAGGGAGAGGAGGGGCAGCTGGGGAAAAGCGATTCCCCAACGAGTTTGGGGAAGTGGTGGGTCCAACAGAGGTAAAGCGGTTTCCTTAATGCCGGGCCGGACTAGACGTCTTTATTCTTCACAAGAGAACTCAGTAAATTCCCCAAATGTAGTCAGCTCTGATCATGGGACCTCTCCTCCTCGCGGTGTCTCCCGGGACTCACGATTGCCAGACATTCTGGGTTCTGCCGGGGCTGGGCCTTTTGAAAACAGGACAGGTGCAGGAGGCAGGCGAGCCGAACTTCCTACCCGAACTTCTCCCTCTACAAATTCCCAGTGATACTGGCACACAGGGTCTGGGTAGGAGTTAAATGTGAGAGCACTAAGTATGCGCCAGCGTTCGGCAAACGTTCACCTCTGCCGTCCGGCTGGAGTTTTCAGCCAGTTGCTCCAGGAGTGGGTCGGGGCCGTTCCGCTCCAGAGGGCGAGTTTGTGTCAGGCATGTGTTTCCCTGAGGCCTCCTCGTTCCCCTTGTGTTTCCCTCTGTGAGAATTTGCCTCCCAGCGTCTTTGTGTAACGTTGACCGTGTGACCAGAGGAGTGCATGGGAATGTGATTCTGCAGTCCTCTTCTGAGTATCTCCATGAAATGTACTCACACAGAATATGAGTTACGGGGGCAGTTCTGCGCCCAGGTGTGCGTTACACACGACTAATGTTCCACTGAGTCACGCAGCACCAGAGAGCCGTGGAAATCAAGACAGGTAAGAAGTGAGAGTTTATTATTTTTCATGTAAGAATGTTTGGAAGAAATGGAATCATTTCCTTTCTTTCAGACATAAAGAACTCTTTCTGACACCTTGCCTATTTTAGCAATTTCCCACCGAGAGAATTAATTTATGTTGTGGGAGAGATGTATCATTTTCAATCTGTCAAGATCATTGGTAAGTTATTTGCTGCTTGAAGAATGTTCCATGTAAACATCAAAAATTAGCAGGGGAAATGGTTGCTTAAACCCCAACTCTGGGCAATTTTGATTGTGTACATTTTTCAATGTTTGAAATGTTATTTTACCTGTAGTTAGAGAGATCGGCTCATTTTGCCTGACTAATGTGGTTTCAGTCACTTCCCCTGCCAGGCTGTAAATAATATTCCTACCTTCTAAATGAACCCTCCCAAGTTCCGTATTCACAGTGCAGGCCTCGTCCAGAGGAAGTCCTCCATAGAAAATTTCATTTGTGAAATGTTCTTTACAGTTGAGTCTTGAAGAGGCTGAACTAGAGCCCGGTGTCATCCTAGAGTTCCAGGGGTCTCTTAAGGGTTCTGGGAATCAAGAGTATCTTAGAATTTTCAAGTTCCCAGGAGAATGTTCTCATCTCATCTTTTTCATTTTTTCTCCTTATTTGTTTTTAACAGTGGTTAAAAAAAAACAAACAGTTGTTACAACCGTGGGTCAGCGGAGTTTCCGTAAAGAACCAGATAGTAAATACTTGGTGCTTTGCAAGCCACGGGGCCTCGGCTTTCAGCTGTGGAATTATGTGAGCAAATGGGCGTGGTGTATTCCACTAAAACTCAAAGTTTCTGTGAAACTTTATCTACAGAAAAGCAGGCCAGATTGGGCCCACCGGTCACGGGTTTGCCGACCCTGGATTTGAACAATAGAGATACAGAATTTTAAGATAAATGTAATTAAATTCCCTGAAAATAAAGTGTTAAGACAGTTCACACCTCTCTCCTCTACAAGTGGTAACATCTAGAGCATGATGACTAAGGAGGGGGGGAAGCTCACAGCGGCAGAGTGTGTGATGTCTGTGCTTTCTGTGCACTTCATGTGTGACGTTCCGAATCCTAACATCGGCCCACTGAGGCAGCATTATTATTCCCACACAGAGATTAAAGAAATAGAGGCATTCATGTGGTTAACTTGCACAAAGCCCCATGTCTACCCGTTCCAAAAAGGTGGTCTTTTCAGTGTGCTCACACCTTCTCTCCTCATTAATACCTTTATAAAACCATTGGGCCTTCGGTCATCTAGCTTCCCCCATGACTAGCTTGACAACCACACACCCCAAATACGGCAGTAAGTTGGGATGCGGCAGCTCTGGCCCACCACACCCCAGAGCCAGAAAACTTACCAGTCAGAGTTGTCGCTGAGGGTTGGCGCCTCCAGAGAGGCAGTTGTTTAATATTCAGGCTTTCAGTGTGGTTTAAGGATCATCTGGAAACTGGCCCTTGGGAGTATTCACACCAGTGAATTAGCAAATGCTGCCTATCAGGGCATCCCCACCCTGCCTTCTTGTTACACCACTTTCTTATCCTGTCATTTACTTTTTTATCAGATTAATCTGTTTATAGTCCATCAAGGGGCCTTGGTTACTGTGTCTGTGAATAAGCCTAAGGCAAGAATCACTCACCAGTAAAGAAATAATGGCCGTTTCAAAGGACACATGCTCTGCAACCATTCGGAGTGAAGTTCTAGATCGCTCCATAATGGCACGGAAAGGTGTTCACGCGATCAAGTCATGAAACTGTATGTGCAGTACGAGGGCAGTCCTACTTTCTCTGCTCCAGAAAGGTCCCCACCGTGGTTACCTTAGTGTGGTAGAGGGTGGGTATTATTTTCTCTCATCCTCTTTTCTAAAATGAGCCTGTATTACTGTTGTAACTGAAACACCTGTGCAGCGCATAGAACCAGAAGATGCAGACAGGATGACTGAGCCCCCCACCCCCAGAGAAGAGGAGGATTGAATCCATTTCTTTAAGATTAATTTCATTGACATTGGGGAGTGGGGTGAGTTCATCCCATAGGAAAAGCCTTTCACCAGCAGCTTGTTTTAGTTATTAGTGCCTATAGCTTAGTTAAGAAAGTAATTTCTTTTTTTCCTCTCCCTATATTAGCCCACTGAATCTCTTAAAAGAGTGTCTGTCAATCAGGCTAAAGATAGGACTCATCCAGAGACATTTTTAAACCTTTGCCTGGGCTCCACCCCTGAGGCCGTTTTGTGGGGGAGATTTGAGCCCTGGGAGTTAAAGTTCTCTCGTGTTGGTCTCACCTGTAGCCGGAGTTGGGAAACCACTCCTTTAAAATGTGACCCGTCTCGTTGTCATGGCCGTGTGTTTTCTTGCTTGGGTTAGTGTATTGCCACCCTGCCTGGAGAAAGGTTGCTGTGCCCACTGGCTTAGACGCGGAAATGCGTCCGAGGGGACTGAACAGATGCTCGCCTCTGTCTTAATGGAGAAGCCGTGGAGAGAGCTGGCTGGGTTTCTGGTCATAATCGCATTTCACAGTCTCTCCTGGAAAATATTTGTACATAGATTTTGGCGGACTCCAGGGGAAAAAAACCTAAAGTATTAAACCAGAGAAAGGCACCCAAGGAAATTAAAAATTTTTTTGGCTTGCTTTCCTGTTTAGGCCACCTATAACAATGTGAAGTCTCTATTACTGCATAATTTAAGTTTCTACATTGTGTTATTTCACTTCCTATTCCTGTGTCCCCTGCTATTTAACCGTATAGTAGACCCATAACCTTCATTTGTGGCTTTTGTAACAAATCATTCAATTATAAGGATTTTGAAATTTTCAGGAGTATAGAAATTACTGTGCAGTACAGACTTAAGGAACTGACAGGATTGCACTTGACGTTTAGAAGCTTGACTGGAATGGCAATGACATGAGCTCTCTCCCCTTCTACCTGCCATGCCTGTATTTTTAGAAAGCAAAATAAGCTTAAATAGGCTTAATAAAGGCCAAGAGAAAAGGATAAAGTAAGGTCTTGAATAACATCTCTCCCCCTACTCACCCAAAAGAAGAGAATGAACTAGGAAAAATCACAGAGAGAGAAATCCTGTCCTATTAAACGGTGGAAAATGAGAAAAGCAAAGCAAAATATTGCAGCCTGAATGAATTTTGTGACGCATCATGAATTCCTGAGGCTGTGGCTTGGTATTTCTAGCAGGTTCTCCCCTAAAGAG